ATGCTGTTAAATTTACCAAAATATAATCTAGATGTACGATACAAAAAGGGGAAAGACTTATTAATAGCAGACACTTTCAGTAGAGCATATTTGAATACAACAGAAAAAGATAATGATGAAGTTACAGAAATTTGTACACTGATTCCAGCACCTGAAGACAAAATTTATGAATTGAAGAAAGAAAGTGAATGTGATGCTACACTACAGTGCTTAAAGAAATATATTCTGAAAGGTTGGCCAGAAAGGAAACATCAGGTAGAACATCAAGTATTTTGGGACTACAGAGATGAGTTGACAATGGAAAATGACTTATTTTTCAAAGAAGAAAAGGTAATTGTTTGTCTATCTATTCAAAAAGAGATGTTAAGTTTAATTCATGAAGGTCATTTTGGTATAGAAAAATGTAAGAAAAGAGCTAGAGATGTTTTGTTCTGGCCACTTATGAACAAGCAGATAGAAGATAAAATTTCAAAATGTTCTATATGTAATGAATACCAGAACAAAAACATAAGAGAGCCTATGATACCATGAATTTCCCAATTTTACCTTGGTTATAAAGTTGCGACAGATTTATTTGAGATTAACAAAGATGTATATTTATTAATTGTAGATTACTATTCCAACTTTTTTGAAATCTCCAAACTACCAGATACTCGAAATCAGACAGTGATCAGTTACATGAAATCTCATTTTGCAAGATACGGTATACCATTGATAGTGATATCTGATAATGGACCTCAGTTTGCAAGTAAAGAATTTGCAGAATTTGCAAAGAGAATAACAATTTAAACATATAACAAGCAGTCCATACCATCCACAGTCGAACGGATTAGCAGAGTGCTCGGTACAAACGGCAAAGAAATTGTTAAAGAAAGCTCAAGTAGATCATGCTGATCCTTATTTAGCATTGTTAGCTCATAGGGACACTCCAACTAATGAGATGTTAGGATCACCAGCGCAACGACTTATGAGTAGAAGAACAAGAACGATTCTTCCTACATCTGAAGAATTGCTTAAACCTCAAGTTGTGAAAAAATGTAAAAGAAAAAAATCAACCAAGAAAGAACTAAACAGAAGTCATATTATGATTGTCATACAAAAACATTATCATCGCTAAATAAAGGAGATTGTGTTAGATTATATCAAGATAATCGCTGGAAATCAGCAGTTGCAGAAGAAGTATATAAGATGCCTAGATCATATATACTGAGATCAGGTGCATCAGTATTGAGAAGAAATAGAAAAGATATTAGAGAAAACAGTTCAGCTGTTAAAGAAAATATCAGAGGAATATAACAAAGGAGTTAATACACAGAAAACAGATGTAAAAGGATATGATTCCGGATATTCTCAAGGGCAAAGTTTAAAAGATCAACTACCAAACTCTGCTAACTCAGAAACAAGGAACGGTGAGCTAAGAACTAGAAGTGGGAGAGTGATTAGAAAGCTGGCCAGGTATTTGGACTGATTTCAGACTGTTAAAACTTTTGAGCTCTTTACAAAAATGGAAGATGTGATATTTAATAATTGTAAATGGTAAAATTTAATATTTAGTAACTTGTAATTTGCAACACTTTGGATACAGATATGAAAATAGAACTATGCTGGTATTGCAGTGCTCTGTGAAAATACATTCTAAGATTGTAAATAAGTAGTTTCTAAAAGCTAAAAGTGTACCCTCATAATAATATAGAGATAACATGTAAATATTGTTTCTGTCATGATACAAATTAAATATCATTATCAGAGTTGTTTTATAGAATTCTAGCCACTGCAATGATGTCAAAATCTGATCGTGTTTCTGTGCCAGGAATACCACAAAGCACCATAAATCTGGTAATGTACCATAGTGCATCCATAATCTGCCTCAAAACAAAGTTCTGTTCAGTTTGGAACTTTTAGTGTAGGATTTTCATGAGTGTGCGCAGACCAGACAAGCATAACACAGCACTGGCCGCCAGATGGATTTATAAATGAGTAATTTGTTACCTATTGATAGAAAATTGTTTTGGTAATTTAGGGGGAGCATCTAGCTTTATATGAATCTGAAACTTCTGAATACATGTGTGGGTACCATGTGAGAGAATTTGTGAGGATCACCTGAATATAAGGGACTTGCTTGGCCCAGTAGAGGCGAATGAACTGCTCCGGAACTGATTCACTCTACTTAACAAATGATCAGCACTCCAAAAAAAAAAAAAAAAAAAAAGGAAAGGCACTTCTTTAACACTTCATTGAGAGCTATTGTTGGGAAGGGTGACAAAAAATGTTTTTATTTCTCTTAATGTAAACACTAGCACTCTTTCCTTTATTGTTTTACTGGAAACACTTCTGATCTATTTTTATGTGTGTATGTGTGTTATGTATGTATATCTGTGTGCTTTTGGCTTGCTTGTGTTCCAACCAGTATTTAAAAAACGAAACATAAAATACACTGATGCATCTCAGCAAAACTGATCACCCCTGTTTGCAAATGGAAGGTGTTTTTTCCCTTCATCTGGCAGTGGGAGGGTCTATTTAAAGTATGTACATTATAGGAGCTAGTTCCTCTGATTCTCAGCTGTCAGCACTCCTACACTAATCGCAGATCTGGGTCCTTCAGAAACGTGATTATTCACATGCTCCTGCTCTAGTTGCAGACCTCATTCCAACAGAGTCTTCATTATTCCCTCTTTCAAATCTGGCTCCTTCGAAGTCTTTGATTATTTGCTCTTTTTGCTTCCTCGGAGCTGATCCTTGAGTTTCATTTATATTCTTTAAATACTGTGTCATAATATAGGTATGTGTATTAGGTTTTACCTTTTTTCATACAATATTACTGCAATATTTATGTCAAATAATAAATTAAATTTTTATTTACTTATTTTACTAACGTCTTGTAACCAAAAGCTATGAATTTATCTTTAACCTTCTTTAGAATTAGTATATACAGTCAAAAGTCTTTAATCCGGACGTCCATAACCCGGAATGATCTATAATCCGGACCTCAAAGCTATAAACTTTCTGCGCATGCATCAATGCATAATGTGTTAACGCATGAGCATAAAACCTTTATGCATGCACATAATACGTTTACGCATGCGCGAATGTATAACGGACGGTATAAGCTAAACTAAAATTATCTAATTATCTATTTCAGTTAATGTTACAGATTGCGTTGTTCCTTAATCTTCTAATTGGATCTGGCTTATTATTTTTTCCAGACTGTTAGAGCAATTTTATAAAAGTAAGCTTGAACTTCCGATTATGTCAAAAAAGAATTTCCGATTCTGGAGCTGCCAAAGGATCTACAAAGCGAAAGCATGTTTTGATGTCCATCAAACAAAAAGTGGAATTGCTGCAAAAAATTTATAATGGCATATCCTTTGTTTCTCTAACCATTCTAAAATCTGTTTATCAATTTCGCGCTGCTCTGCGGGAGGGAGGGGGAACGTCGCGGCGCGCTATGAACTGGAAGTTTATCTGTCAACACTATCCTTATCTTCAGGGCAGGTATTTTTATTTTATTCTCCTTATAATTCCTTAATAAATGTAGTATTTCATCTCGATGTACTCCATCTTTGATATGATTTAAATCAAATTCATCGTCATTATAAATATCACAAATACACATCAAATAGTTTTCTGGTTGCAATTTTCTAATTTCGACTATGCGTAATGTATGCTTTACGCATGCGTGCATTGAAAGAAATGTTTAATAAAGTAAACAAATAAATATGAAGCTTTTTTGTTAAATTTTGATACCCTTTAGATCATAATTGCTCTTTATTTCATAAATAACAATTTCATATTTTTAATTTTATAATTTCTGCATGCCATCTTACCAGATTTAAATTGATCATATATAATCCGGAATCGTCGAAGTCCCGACGAGTCCGGATTAGACTTTTGACTGTATTTATAAACATAAATTTTTCCATCTAATGTATTTTTTCAAGGTTGCAGAACAAAATGTGGATTCTACCGAACAGAAGAACCTCGAGCGATATTTGTTATCATTTTGTAGAATTTCATTAAAAAAAAAAAAAAAAAAAATACCAGTACTATCAGCAGACAATTTTTTGTTCTTTGGAATCTGCCTCCAATTTAAAATCAATTTTTACATTTTGTTTTATGTAGCAATAATATATCGATTATAGTAATCAAATAATGTAATCTTTAAAAAAGTGACTTTAGTTTTCCTTATTTTTTAATTTATGGCATTTTTTAAATTCCATTTATATGTGCGAAGGATTTTATTGTAGTTCTATGTAGAAATTTTTTTTTGGGGGGGGGGATCTCAAAAGTACAGTTGAAAGAAATCAGTCCAGGGATTGAGTGGTTTTGAGTTGATTCCAGCGTTTCTACTCCTCGTTCAATCCTTTCTGCTTCCCTCCCGCACCTTTGTATACCGGCTCTGATCCACGTCTGTTCTGAGCACATTCGTCCAGGTCATTGTTAATGAGCGATGAATTCTTAAAAAGAACTCATTCACTTTAGTGAGCGAACAGTTCTGTTCTGATACCTTAAGAGAGCGTTTTTGTCCATGTCCTATGAGCCCAAGGGAAAGTTTCTCCATAAAACTGCAGATGCTGATTAATCATCTTTGCCTCATAAATAATACTGCAAGAGTTTTGTTAATATTTACCTCACTTTTCCATTTTTGTAGCCAGGCCTCTAGTGCATGGAAGAAACTAAGCAACTAAGAAATGCTTTCTGAGTAAGGATTGCTGTATCATCAGCGTACACTGCAAGTGTAGTGTTGGGGGTGTAAGGAATGTCATTTACGTAAATGTTGAAAAGAATGAGGCCTAGTAGGGATCCCTGTGGAACACCAACTGAAATGCTGAAACAGTATGGTAAGTAGAGTATCTGTTACAGGCGGGAATAACAAAGTGGTCTACCTGACAAGTAGGATTTAATTATCTGCATCTTGGATGTCCATCAGAACATCATATACATGTTGTCATTTCCATTGGAAACACTTACAAAGTTCTGAAATTTATACAAAAATTACTTACCCTTTTGACAAGTATGAGAATTCCAACATAATTTCTGTAATCTTGGAGGTTTCGACTTACTACTTGTTGGGCAATTTGTATCTGGACAAGTATCTGGGCATTCTTCATGCTGTTTATTTTTCTTGATGAAATGTCCACCATGACCAGATTTTGCAAGTATATCCCAGTCAATGGTATCCACATAGCACAAATGAGGATTCTTCTCAATACGAACAGAGCCTCTTAGTATTGTGGTCAAATTTACCAATCCAATATCCAGAAGAGAAAACATTTCATAAAGTACAAAAGCATAATTATGAAATAAGACATCTCCTCTGATCACTGCTAAATTTGGAAAAAGTTTTGACAATGACTGAATACCTTGTACTCTGTACAAAATAAGATAACCCGTAATTTCCTGTAGTTTTGGAAAAGAAATGTTCTCAAAATCTTTACTTCCAGCAGTGTCAATCAAGAGGATTTGGACAGAACCTTCAACAACAGAACAGTTTTCAAGCTTGTGAAAAAATGAAACGTTATTCCGAATATCTATATTTGAACACACTGAAAGAAAGAAAAATTTTTAAATTAGTTCTTTAACATAACAACATCAAATTTACAAATTTTAAAATTGCAACAGTTAAAATTTTTTTTCATGACTTACATTTTAAAGACAAGTTATGCTTTAAATTTATAATTTAGAACTGTAATTTTAGCAGTCAGAGTTTAATTATAACAAATACCAAAGGATTACTTGCTTTAGGTAAAAAATAGATTCTTTTCAGAAAAAATATATTACATTTCAATTTATATATTAGACACTAATTACGAAAAAAATTATGTTCTTATTTTAAAGAGAATTAAATTCAGAAATAAGTAATCTAGAACTATTTTACTGCCTAAATCATAACATATTCTTAAAAACAGAACACACTGCTGTTGACTAATAACTGCTTATATAGCACCACGTTTTAGAAGTTCTTATAAAAATACAAAATAACAATGCTTTAAAACACATATTTCATATTTTATACAAAATGTTTCTTAAAGAAGTAAAGATTTCGTTATTTTTTCCTGGGTAATTTAATTTTCCTGTAAGTAAAATAATAGTGTTCCAGCATGTGAAAAATTATTATAGATTATAGAAGCCTGGGCACCAAGGTACAAATAGCTTTCAGGAAAACCGAATGATCATTTTCTTTGTTTTGAAGACAAAAAAAGGGAAGAGATGCAAACTTATAGGATGATTCTGGGCCCCCTTAAAATCTGAGGCAAAAAAAGTGCAGACGTTGTTGATTTCAGACAGTAAAAATGTCCGGTGAAAACATAAAAGTGTAAAACCATTTCCAAGATATCTGGCATCAGTAAGGTTCCTATACTATCTCAAAAAGTAGAAAGATGTGCATTCGCGTACGCTCTCGTTTGTGTCCTATATTTATAAATACTGGCTTTTTAAGTTCAGAAATTTTTCTCAGACACAGATGGAAAGTAAACGCATGTGTGGACCATGTTATTTCCACATCATGCTCCTGGCTGCTTGAAAGTCAATATTTTTAGTCGACCACACAGCAACTTACGCTCCTATGACTCCACGAATGTAAACAACAATGAACTTTAGTGCTAACGCAGCTTTATTGTTTCTGCGTGTGCTTTGAGAAGTTGCCATCAGGCAGCTGTGCACATTTTGTTGAATTATGCACACAGAATCCAAATGCCGTAAACATCAAAAACTCCATCGAAAAGGGAGGTCACGAACTTTAAAAGCATACTGCAGTCAAAAGTCTTTAATCCGGACTCGTCGGGACTTCGGCGATTCCGGATTACAGATCATCAGTTTAAATCTGGTAAGATGGCATGCAGAAATTATAAAATTAAAAATATGAAACCATAATTTATGAAATAAAGAACAATTATGATCTAAAGGGTATCAAAATTTACAAAAAGAAAAAAAAAAGCTTAATATTTATTGTTTACTTTATTAAACATTTCTTTCAATGTAAGTTGCTTCGTTTTCATGTGATAATACTTTCTCTTTAATTCTATTAAACAGACATAATTTCTTGTTCAGTTACAAAGTTTCGCTGTTCAAGTCCTATAATTGCTGTGTCGAGAATACTGACTAATTTGTCAATCGAAATTTTTTCGTTTTCAATAACCTCTGTCACTTTCTTCGCTATCGGAAGCGAATTATAATGACGAGGAACTTGTTTTAAATCATATTAAAGACGGAGCACATCAAGATGAAATACTACATTTGATAAGGAATTATAAGCCAAATAAAATAAAAACATCTGCCCTGAAGATAAGGATAGTGCTGACAGATCAACTTCCAATTCATTACGCGCACGCCGCGGCGTTCCCCCCGCCGAGCAGCGTGAAATTGATAAACAGATTTCGGATTTCAAAACATACTTTCGCTTTAGATCCTTTACATATTAACAAATATATATCGGAAATTCTATTTGATGTAATCGAAAGTTGAAACTTACTTTTATAAAATTGCTCTTACAGTCTGCAAAAAATAATAAGCCGGATCCAATTCGAAAATTAAGGAACAACGCAATCATCAACATTAACTGAAATAGATAATTATTTAGCTTATACGCCCATTATACATAAAACGCGCACGCGAAAACGTATTCTGCACTTGCGCACACTCATATGCGCAGTCGTAAAAGGTCTTACGCGCACGCGTAAACGCCTATGCGCATGTGTCAACGCGGCGAATGCGCAGAAAGTTTTTAGTTTTGAGGTCCGGATTATAGGTCATTCCGAATTATGGGTGTCCGAATTAACGACTTTTGACTGTATACTTTTTCATTATTAGGTAATTTTTCATTATTAGGCAGGAGAGCTTTTTGAAAATTTTACAATCCTTGTCGGTGATTTTAGTTTGCTATCTGATTTGATCGATGCAGTATTATGCATGGAAATATTACGCATTAATGCCATGAACTACATATTAATACACACAATAAATAAATAAATTAAAATCAATACGACACTGATGAAGCTTTTGATTGATCTTGCATACATAAGTGATGACACCATGAAACAGAATTTTCGCTATTTTTTAACGCTATTTTTAACGCTCTTTTTAAAATCAATACGACACTGATGAAGCTTTTGATTGATCTTGCATACATTAGTGATGACACCATGAAACAGAATTTTCGCTATTTTTTAACGCTATTTTTTAACGGGTTTAAAGATTCAGAAAATTGTCATGCATTTTCGTGAAATTTTTCTAATTTATGAGAAAAAAGGAGTGTACATGGATATGGTGAAGAGTGTGCGCAATGCCATTTTTGTGCAATTGTGGGATTTTTTTTTTAAGTAAAAATAAGTCGACGTGTACATGGTTTAGTGATATTTTAATTAAATGATAGTTATTTTGTGAATTTTATGTTTGTAGGAATTTGGTATACGTTTTAGTTGAAGTAAACGTGCATGGAAATAATTTAAATATTTGACACTAAGTATTTGTTATGATTGCGGTATGAATTCGTTGGTGACATTTATAATATAATAGGTGATTTAGAGGTAAAAGTTTTTGGATATTTTATTTATTTTATACGTGGAAATGTTCATATTTGGAAAGGGTATATACTTTTTCGCGATCAGGTAATTTCATAATGTTCTTTTTACCGGGTTTAAAGATTCAGAAAATTGTCATGTATTTTCGTGAAATTTTTTCTAATTTATGAGAAAAAAGCAGTGTACATGGATATAGTGAAAAGTGTGCGCAATGCCATTTTTGTGTAATTCTGGGATTTTTTTTTAAGTAAAAATAAGTCGACGTGTACATGGTTTATGTGTATGTGTTATTTGAAAAAACGCGTAAGGAGTATGGTATTGTGCACTTTTTTCCCAATTTTGCAGTGAATATTTGTCATGATTAAGCAGTTTTGTTAGATAAAATTTCTAGCATAAGTGTAATTCGGCTAGTAGATTGTTGGAAGAAGTGTTCAGTAGATAAAAAGAAAGAAACATGTCTTTACTTCGTGAAGACAAAATGGCGGCGGAAAAAAAAAATAGAGGGTTGCTGTAGGAGAGTTGGTCGCCAAATTTTCGCCAAAAAATCGCCAAGTTACCATAATGTAAAGATCAACCATATATTTTATTACATAAAAATCATATTATAATTAATAATTCAAATTATGCATTATAAAGTGATTTTAAGTAAAATTTGAAAATAGTACTCTTTTGAAATCTGCCAGATTACAATATTTGAAGACTGGTGATTATGAGCTACGTATAGATTTCAGTCGACTACGCTTCCTTTTTCAATGTAATTTATTCGAATTATAATGAATGCTTTTGTAATATTTTTATACACATTTTCGTTCAAGAGAGAAGCAAACGGAAGGAAAATATCTAGCATTTTAAAATTGAAACAATTTACTCAAATTCGATATCCAACTAAATATTTCTCAACATCATTACGCTACTATGGATTTTTTTTTTTTTTTTTTCCCCTAATGTTTCGATACTACACACACGCGCGCACCCCCCCCCAAAAAAAAAAACATTACGTTATATTTATTATACAAACAAATTACAATGATTTTTGATTTCAAGCAGAGATATTGAAATATCGAATAGCCCCCACCCGTTTTTATTCGGCACTTATAACGGCAAAAGGAGAGCTTTTTGAAAATTTTACAATCCTTGTCGGTGATTTTAGTTTGCTATCTGATTTGATCGATGCAGTATTATGCATGGAAATATTACGCATTAATGCCATGAACTACATATTAATACACACAATAAATAAATTAATTAAAATCAATACGACACTGATGAAGCTTTTGATTGATCTTGCATACATTAGTGATGACACCATGAAACAGAATTTTCGCTATTTTTACATCACAACACCTGTAGGCAAAAATATATATATATATACGAGTATTATTTAAATAAATTGCACCAATTTCCACAAAACTACACTGTTTGAAACTCACCACACCATTTGGCCACCTTTCTCGCTTCTCCATGTTTTTCGTTAACACACAGGGCATTACTTTATAATATTTTTACAGTATGTACAGGCATTACAGATGCAGTATCTGCAGAAATTAAAAAGTAAAATGAGGAAAGTGGGAAATATTCAGAACTACTACCAAAGATAATAGGGTCAGTCTAAGTAGGAAGTTTTCAAAAGTAACAGTGGAATCTAAAAAATCGGATTATGGATTTTTTGTTTCCCTCGGCTCAGGGTTCGTAGCCCACATTTTAGTTAACAAAATAAGCACCTATAAGCACTTTTCAAGCACATTTTACGGAAAAAAATAAGCACCTGTCTAATTACATTATACACAACTGGATGATCTTAAAAGAAAAATTAGACTTGTAATTTAAAATATGAGAAATTCAGTATTAATTAAGAGAGAATGAGCATTACTCAACCACGGAAAACAATTACATTATTTTTTTTTTAAATTTTAAATAACAGTTCAATTCACAGAACTAGTTTACAATAAGAGGAAAAAAATACATGCAGAACTAAATCATATTACAAGATTTAATGACGAAATTTCTGTTCAAAATAGAGAAAATAA